GCCCCCGGGCATCCCGCGCGGGTTCCCTTCCGTGCCCCACCGGCCGCCCTGGGGTCGGGGTCAGGGAAAGTTCGCACCGAAATTCCCTCTTGATTTATTCAAAGGTTTGGCGGCGGCGCGCAGTTCCCCCCTCTTCCGCCTACACCCCCTGCGCCTCCGAGGGTTCGTGTCGTCTCATTCCTTTCCCTTTACCGGATTCGATTGCCTCACTGCGTGTGTGCGCGCGAGTCGCCGGGAACAACTGTGCCTCCCCTCTGCGCCTGCCTTTGTTAGGGTTTCTCGGGTGGTTTCTGGAGGAAGGTGGGGGCGGTGGGCGTGAGAGAGACGGCGTGGGCTTGTTTGCTGGTTGCTCAATGTGTGTGCGGGCTGGGAGGGAGAAGGTTTCCTGGATGTGCTTTGGGGAGGCAGCAGGAACAGATGCCGGCCGGATCTCACAACTGCCGTAGCCGAGGCTTTTGTTTATTTTGAGGCAAATGCGATTTAAAAAACAAAACAAAAAAAAAAATACTCCGGTGCGAGATAACTAGTGAGGCGCTGAGAATCGAGGCGGGTCTGAGAACCATCTCCCGCGGAGCAAGCATCGTTTTCGTGAGTACTGACAGCCTGCCTGGTCTCTCTCCTTGGCTTTGCACCCCACCCCCTTCCCCCGCCCCAAAGTACGGACTGATACAAAAGTTGGAAGATTTCTCTTGTGTCTTCCTGTTGCGGAAGCTCTCAGCGGCTAAATCACAGAATGCCCTTATTGCAGCAGGAACATCTTTTGCGCTCATTGCCAGTCGTGGATAACGTACCCACACCTCAGGAACACCAGGAGAAAACTGTGCCTGGCCCAGGTTAATATTACATGTTGTTTGTAACTACCACTTAACGTTGTGTGGGAGGCAGGTGAGCTGTATTGGAACGGCTGTTTAAAAAAAAAAAAAATTCCAGGCAGATCCTGTGTTCACTGCACCAGCATTTTCAACTGGTGTAAATGTTTTTGCATCAGCTTTACTCTGATCTAGGTGCCAGGCCTAAATGTGCTGTACTGATTAAAGTGTTTGTCCTCCGCTCTCCCTCCCTCGCTCCCATTTGCAGTTATTTGATATTTCTATGCAGGTGGTGGACCATTTGTGTAATAGTGCAATTCTTAGGAAACTGTAACCAGGGTCTTGAGAGATGATTTTCTGGAGATGGTGATGCTAGAGCCTCCGGAGGATCCAGGCAGGATCGGGTTTCTTCTGAGGGTAGGGATTTGTCCTTGATTTAGTTTTGACCCCTACAACCATAGGTATGGAATCAAATACGTTTTTCCTTTTGCTTTATCCTTTCCTTGCCGAGCTGATGACCTTTGTGTTTTAGAGAAATGATAGTTTTTAGGAAATTAAAAATGTTAACCTCTTAACACCTCTTGGGATTTAAGTAAAATTCCTCCCCCCTCCAAGTTGACTAAAGCATTAAGAGGAAGTAAGTCTCATTTTTCCAGCTACATTTACTATATATATATATATATATATATATATATATATATATATATATATATATATATATATATATATATATATATATATTTAGTTAAAAACTAAAATTCACTTTGTAATTTTATTTTTAGCAATTCTGGGTTCAGGGTAAAATTTAATAACTTGGTAGATTGGAAAAAGAATAAACTTGAGTGTAATTAGAGGAGTATATTTAAGCTGCAGTAGCCTACATAATTAAGGCCAAGTTGTGTGTGTATAAAAGAACTCATTTGTGTAGTCTTACAAGGCTAATGGAGGCATCGCTGAGGCTTTATAAATAATGTAAGTTGTGTATAATGTAGAGTCTCCAGAGATGGCAGAGAAAGCATCATTACCAGCCTTTTCAACCTGCTCGAGATCTTAAATTGATTTACAGCACTGAACTGGTGCAAAATGATACATCAGGATGACATGGGGTCAGCCTGTAAAAGTCTATGATGTCAGCCTATTAGTTCAGTCATCATAATTAAACCATATTACAGGGGCAGCTAAGCAGGAGTCTGGCGTTATACTTCAGATATGGGTGGTTCATGGATTTTGTGCATAGTGGAAAGGCCAAGAATACTAGTGTTTCTGAAAGAGGGAAAGCCTTACAGAACTGTGAATGTCTGAGAGAAACAATTGAAGATAAATTCAGAGATGCTCAGTGTGCATTGTCCAAGTAGCTTCCCACTTGGTGGTATAGAAACAAGTGCTTTGGTGCTGGCCCTTTGCAGATCTGGTCTATGTATTGAATCATACTTCACATGAGCTTGAATTTAACTTGGCCTTAGGGACCTTCTAAAATATCAGAAGGCCATATACTTCTTTATCTCTGATCCTTTTATTAGCACTGAGTTTACACTGTACTGATGCATGAGTTGACATGTTATTTCTTTAACTAGTCAGTTACCCGATTTCCATTAAACACAAAGATACTTGCATTGAACATATAAGCAATTCAGGAAAAGAAGACCCTTGATTTTGCTTAAATTTCTTATGTTCCTTTTTTTATTTATGGATCATCTGTGGCCATGTAGTCCAGTAAAGTAGCCCCATAGCCACATCTGGCTATTTGTTTAAATGAAATAAAATTAAATTTTAAAAAAATTTTTTTCAGCACTGCCCAAATTTGAAGTGCTCAACAGCCGCATGAAGCTAGTGGCTTCCATATTGGACAGTGTGTATATAGGATAGTTCATCATCTTAGAAAATTCTAGATAGTGCTGTCCCAGGATCTTCCACTCACTTGTCTCCTCTAATAGTGAATTTGGGAGGTTCAAGAGAGACAGAAATATATACATACATTGGTTAATTTTACAACTAACTGCTCTTGTTAAAACGCAATTCGGAAGTGACAGTTGAAGCTATTGATAAAATTAGGTTGACTTTTCTGGAGATCTTATTTGTCATTAATGTCATGGATTCTCACTTGATTTACAGCATGGGGTAAGAAATAGTGTACCCTTTTTTCCAGAATTTTTACCATGTGCCAGGCATTATTTGTAATACTTATTTAAGCCTCAAAACTTCCCTAAGGACTGTTGTCACATTTTACAGGTAAACTAAGGCCCAAGCGGTTGTCTTCCCTCAGGCCCATAACCAGTGAGTGATTTTGATTTATCATCTTAGCTGGGATACAAACAAGGCAGTCTGACTCCAGACTTATTCTTAGCTGTGCTTTTTGGTTTTCATCTAGAGGATCCAAACAGGCATTGTGCAGTAGGTGGTACTATGCCAGTGTAGACATGACTTGACTTTTAGGTTCTTAGACATATTTGCCCTCTGTTGTTCTTTTTTGGGCCTGTCTTCTATTGTTCCTGTAAATGTTTAAAAGGGAAAAGTAATGGTAATACTTATCTAAGCAACACATAATTTGAAGAATAAGTCTGACATAGAAATAATGCATTTCAAAGCCCAACTAGTTTTATCTCAGCTTTTCTGTATAATTCCTGTCACTTTTCTCGTGTTTTATTGTATAATCATAAGATAATGGGTACTGATGAAAGTTCTAGTAGTTCAGTTTATCTCATCAAAATTACTGTGTTTTCCCTGAGTGGTTAAGCACGTGTCTTGAGATAAGACTAGTTCATTGCAAATTCCTTGGGAACTTTTTTTTTGCGGGGGAGAGTGGTGGTGGGGTGGGAAGTGTTTGAGTATTCTTTTGTATGTCTTACCTTTCACTTGTTCTCAACTTTTTAAATAGAGTGTTAGGCTGTTTAAGAATCTGATAAAACCACGGGTCCTGTGTCTTCTCTTCCATCCTCTCATCCAGAAATGATGTCCTGGTGAGTTTGTGAGTACGCTTTTACAGCCCTAGTGCACGATCCTTCTGGTGAAGTTCATCCCTGGGACTGCCTTGACAGGTGCTTTCATAAACACTGACTTGTGATTTCCTATTTAGAAATGTTTAATGTTAAAAGCTGCTTTAAAGGTTTTCTAATCCAGATGGTTCATGTGGAGATAAGCCATGTGTGGCTGAGAGAAAACAACCTGCTTGTCTGAAGTTACCCATGTGGGGATTGCAGGCAGGAAAGGCAGCCCTGGGTCCTCCTAGTGTTGTTGAGTATTCTTTATTATTATTATTATTATTATTATTATTATTATTATTATTATTTACGTGACAGCAGAGTATCATTTGAAATATTATACATACATAGAATAAGTGTAACTTGTTCCAATTAGGTCCCATTATTTGGTTGTACAAGATGTTGCGTTACATTCGGGGTATATTTATGTATGCGGGTAGGATATTTTGTTTGTTCTTTCCTTCCACACTCCTGAGGCTTTGGCTGAGCATGTCCAGTAGAGTTTGGTTAAGGAAGGGGAGAAGAGTTTTTGGCATGATACTGACATTTTATACCTAATGTTTGAGGTAAATAGGAATCAAGTCTGACCACCAAAGAGAGATGTTTGTTTTCTCCAGGTTGAAATTGATTTTTTTTTCTTTCATTCTAGAAATGGAAAAGAAAAACCCTGTATCAAATTTAATCAATGGGACCTTATTGGGAAATGGGAGATCCAAGATTGTACAAAGTTCAGGTTAAAGCAGACAGTTCTGACGTAGGAATATACGAAAGTCCTATTGTGACTCTCAAAATCAGATCACATTTTTCACCAAAAGCTAAAGGTTGGGGTCTTTAAAGAAGGGATAGGGGGCTCTAGGGAGAGAGTTGGAAATGTTGTGAAGAAAAAGGACAATTTAAATGTAAAAAGGTGGTATAAATTGTTATTAAGTCATAAAGCAACTTTGAGATAAGAAGTGCTCTGATACTTCTGTATGTGGCTTTGATTGTTGGTACCAAGATTGCAGGATGTGTGCATTAGGAACAAACAGGGGCATTCCTTGTGTTTCAAACTGAAGTCTCTTGACTCTGTATCTTCCTTTTCTGCTGTTATCTGGTAGACAAATACTTAGTCTGATATGGTGATTTCTTATTTGATTTGTAGCAAAAATACTCGAAGTATTTTTAACCCTTATAGCAACCTTTAAAAAGAAAAGAAAGAAAGCTAAATAGCATGTACTACTTAAAATCTAAGTTAAGCTATTGTAAGATAATGTCAGTTTTATAGCACAGTTAGTTTTACAGGCAAAAAGTAACATTCATATCTGGCTGACTTGCAGAAATGAGCAGGCTCTGGAACATGCATTTGCTTAAGGGACTTACATCTTTTGGATAGGAAAAGCAAAACTTTCATAAATGGTTCAACTCCAGTGTTTACATCAGACTTTTTGGAAGGCACTAGAAGTGCAGTATTGGAATAGTTTAGCACCTTTGTCATTAGCTAAAAATAATAGAGAAGACTCTCCTGAAAACAGAGCTTCCTACCCTCTTAAGGTCTGAGGAGTCTTTACCTGGTGTGATTCTCCCAAATCTCTTCTGCTTGGTTCTTAGTGTTTGGAAAAGGAGCCTTATTCTTTTACAAGAACCCAAGTCTGTGGTGTGGTGGATTGGTTTCTTAACTTTTTTTTTTTTTTTTTTGAGACAACAAACCTGAATTTAAAGAAAGAACTTTTATATGTACAACGATAAATTATGCATATTTGTGTTTCTGAGCTCAAGATGTAAATGAATATTAACTGTCATATTTGAGAAGTGGGTTATAAGG